TGTAGAGATGAGGTCTCGCCTGCCCAGGCGGGTCTCGAACCCGCGGGCTCAGGCAATCCACTCACCTCAGCCTCCCAAAGGCGTGGGATTACAGGCTGAGCCACCGAACCCGGCTCAAATGCCATATTTTTAAACCGAAGTTTTCATTGTTGCTGTACAATGTGGCCAATCCACGCATCCCAATTTTCCACTAAATGTGTTGGGCTGAATGACAAAAGCAAACTTTCTTGATAACATCTTGAAATTCACTTTTAGGAGCCTTGATCACACCATATTCCAAATCTGTCATTATGGTTTAGGGATTAAACTGAAATTCATTTTCTTCTATAAAGTCCATCAAATCTTCAAATAAGTGTTTATAAAGTGCTTCATTTTTTTTCCAGTCATCAATACATAAATAAGCAGATAAGTTCTAGAATTTTCTGATCCAATCAGGGCATGAACTGTATATAGTTAATTTTTTTTAAATGGGGACAGTTTTGAAAGTGCTATTCATTAGCCAAAAAGTGAAGCATTTCTAGTTTGTCTATGTTAAATTAAGAGGTAAATATAAGTCTATCTTCTTTGACAGTCAACTCTAACCCATTAGCATTTAATGTGTTTTATAAAACTGAAAACCTCTAGATCAGCAAACATCTTTGGTTCAGAAGGTCACCAAGCTTGTTGGATTCTTTTTATTCTCTGATGAAGGGCATTTTTTGAAGACAAACATGGCACTATGTATAAAGAGAAGGAAGTCATACATGATTGAACAACTTGGCAGGGGAGATTTGTTGTATTTTTTTCCCTGTGTTTTTACTTCTATGACTTTTGAAACACTCAAGACATTGAGGGCAGTTCTTCCTCACTCACCAGTCCACCCAGACTCACACACTAATCTTGTCTGGAAATACCCTCACAAACACCTGCATTACCAGATTTCTAGGTATTCCATAATCCAGTCAAGTTAACACCTAAAATTAAGTCCACAAATCCACCCCTTGTCAATTTGCATCCAGAAGCATCTTCTTAAACTATACTTAGTTTCCAAGTAAAGAAAATAGCTAGGTAACATTCCACCTAACATGACGCAGCTAACTTGCTACAGCTAACACAATGCAGCTATCCTGTGTACAACCAAACATGCACTCATTCCTTCCCCAGAATTCAGCTTTCAGGATTTCAGCATTTGGGGTTTGAATCTTTTGGGATTGTGATTTCAGGGCTTTTAGATATTAGGGATTTCAATGTTTGGAATTATGTCTTTTGGAAATATGTCAGGTATCACCCATGAACTAGTTTCCTCATCTGTAAAATTGGAATAATACTGTTAGGCATTAATATTGTAATACACAAGGGAGGGATATTGTATGCAATGTTTTCCAAATTTATTCGACCACAGAACTCTTTTGGGGTGGCCTATTTTATTGGCCTCTATCCCAAGACCCATCCCTGTCACTGTTGCATTTTGACAGATGTAAGGACTTAGTGGTTTTTTTCCCCTAGATTAAAGTAGAATTATTATAAGGGGCACATAAAGGCATAAGTATTGAAAGAAGGCTTTTAGTATCTTCTTTCATGAAGCCCCCTAACCACCACCAATTTGGCTTGAAATGTGAAAAACGCACCTGCTTCTTAGATGAGACATACACCAAGATTCTAACCATGCAGGTGCTTAAAGTCCTACCAACCTTTTCAGAGGGCAGAAAATACAGGAGTAGAAGTAAAGCTCAAATTCTGGTTCCTGGCTCCTCCAGCTCATCCTTATAATCCCCTGGTGTTTCTTTTTCTTGATCAGGAGTCATCCTTTTCTTCCCATCATTCCAAACACCCAGAGAACTCAACTAGAAGACAGACTGGATAGCCAGGAGCGTACCGTAGCTTTCCTCCTCGAGCAAGCCTTCCGCATCAAGGAAGACATTTCGGCTTGTCTACAGGGGACCCACGGCTTTCGAAGAGAGGAATCACTTGCCAGGAAGTTACTGGAAAGCCACATCCAGACCATCACCAGTATCGTCAAAAAACTCAGTCAAAACATTGAGGTAGTTCTCTGTTTCCTGTATGTTGGCATCATTGCTTGACAAAGATTATCAACCACCAATATCATTTTTTAAGAACAAAAATGTGTCACCGTTGTTTAAATGTGCATGATTATATTTTAATTGGCCAAGAGGGAAACAGTTCATTTTTTCAACTGCTCATTATGCCAAAATGTAGAAGAAACTTCTATGAAAAAAATATTTATTGTATATTGGCCAGGAGCAGTGACTTCTACCTGTCATCCTTTGGGAGACCAAGGCAGGAGGATTGCTTGCACCCAGGGCTTTGTGACCAGCCTGGGCAACATAGTGAGACCTCATCTTTATAAACAAATCAAAAAATTAGCTGAGTATGGTGGTACATACCTGTAGTTGCAGCTACTTGGGAGGCTGAGGTGGAAGGATCGCCTGAGCCCTGGAGTCGAGGCTGCGGTGAGTTGTGATTATGCTACTGTACTCCAGCCTGGGTGACAAAGTGAGACTATAACTAATATAAATATATATATTTGTGGCAGCAAAGACAACTCGTTAACATTATGTCAGACATTTTGCTATGTTGCTTCTGTTAGTCTAAAACTCCAAAATTCTGTTAATGTAACCATTTCAAATAGAGATTTTCATAATTGGTCATGCTGGATTTTAGAGCCATCACAGTTTCTCTGACCACATCTCCTACCCTTCTTTCCTTCATTCTGACCACACTGGCTTCCCAGCTATTCCTAGGACATTCCAAATATGCTCAAGCCTCAGGGCCTCTGCACTTGCATTCATGATGGCTGAATCATCTTCCCTTAGATATAAGCCAGGTTCTTCATTTCCTGCAGGTCTCAAATAGAACCTTATAGAAGAGGACTGGATTTCTTGACATTTTATAAAATAGCACCCCCTCCTCACCCTAACAGTTTTCATCTCCCTTAAAACCTACTTTATTATTATTTTGTGTCACATAGTATTTATCACAAACTACCATGGTCTATACTAGTTTAAGGTTTGTTTTCTCTACCTGAAACATCTCCATAAGGGCAGGGACTTTGTTTTGTTCATGCTAAATCCCATACCAGACAAGAACCATCTGTTGTAGTCAGCACTCTATTAAATAGCCAAGGGCAATGTCTCACACCTGTAATCCCAGCAATGGAGTTTTTTTGTTATGTTTTGTTTCTTTCTTTTTTTTGAGTCAGAGTCTCACTTGGTTGCCCATGCTGGAGTGCAGTGGCACCATCATGGCTCACTGCAGCCTTGACTTCCTTAGTCAAGCCTCCTTCTACCTCAGCCTCCTGAGTAGCTGGGACTACAGGTGCACACCACTGTACCCAGTTAATTTTTTTTATTTTTGGTAGAGACAAGGTCTCTTTATGTAGCCAGGCTGATTTTAAACTCCTAGGCTGAAGCAATTCTCCTGCCTTGGCTCCCAAAGTGCTGGATTATAGGCACAAGCCACCACACACAGATGATTAAAAATATGAGAGACGATCCCTCCAAAAGCTGGAATTATCTTTTGGCGACTGGGGCCCTTGTAGTACACAGGCTTCCCCCACTAGGTAAGTGTTCTAGAAACCCATTGGCATCAGTGCATCTACTAGCATTGTTGTGAGAGGCTGTTCTACTTCCGTGTTTTTGGAGGGGAGGGTTTTTTGTTTGTTTGCTTGTTTGTTGAGATTCTTTCATTGTGTTTGCTCATTTCCTGATGGGTGATTTACAGGCACACCTGGCCACACCGCACTGTGTGTTCAGCAGTTTCTGACCAAAACTGGCATGACCCCCATGTCCCACCCTCCCTATTCACCCAATCTTGCTCCCTGGCAAATTTTTTGTTTGTTTCCCTATGAAAAAATTCTCAAAGGGAAACATTCTGCCAATGTAGAAGAAGTGAAACAAAAAATGGCAGAAGCACTAAAAGGCATCCAAACTGACGAGTTCAAAAACTGCTTCGAGCAGTATAAAAAAGCATCTTGACAGGTGTATTGCATCAAACGAAGAGTACTTTGAAGGTGACAAGTTTATACGTGCAAGAATAAATACACAATGTTTAAATAAATAAACACTGGTTTTTTGGTTCACCCTCATATTTTCAAGCATAATAAGGTACCGCGAAAGTGACCAGAGGCAAGAAACTCTGCCTTTTGAAATGACAGGTGAATGCAGCATAGCACTAAAAGGAGGTCCCAATTTAGGAGTCAAAATGTCTTGATAATTAAGAAGTGAACATTTTTAGAAAAATCAAGTTATTTCTAAGAAGGTTTTATATTTTGATTTTGGAGGTTGTTATATAGTTGATTACATTTGTAAAGATCCATTCAGATATACACTTTGATTTGTGCATTTCAATGCATATTAATTATACTCCAGTAAAACACTCTTGACATTAAGGGGAAAAATGTTTTCAAATAGCTATAAATCTTGTGAAGAGGTTCTTTTTCCTATAGTATTTGATTATCTTAGACTAGCTCTGAAAACAAAATTCAGAACATTTTCCAAAAAAAGACAAAATGAAACTTCAAGATATTTGTGATTCTGTTAAGGGTTTGGCATCATATAGGGAAAATAAGGACTGGTTTGAGTGTGTGAAAAACTGAATTAGAGATTATTTCAAAGGTTGTAGATAGTATAGTTAAAATATTATGAAGAAGAAGCTATTGGGCTACCCTGAGTAAATAACTATGAGCACTTTATAGAGAAATGAATGCTCTTCGAGTATCTTAAAATAATTTAAACTCATTCATCAGGATGGCTCATTTGCAAATTGGCTTGTAAGATAAATTCAAGTGTGAGACTAAAGCTTAACTCAGATCCTTAAAAGGAATGACAATTTTTTAAAAAATCTGCCATAATTGCAACAGTTACATTGCTTGTCCCTTTTAAAAATCAAATAATTCCAGGCCGGGCTCGGTGGCTCAGCCTGTAATCAATCCCAGAATTTTGGGAGGCCGAGGCGAATGGATTGCCTGAGCCTAGGGGTTTGAAACCAGCCTGGGCGACATGGTGAGACCCCATCTCTACAGTAAAAATCAAAAATTAGCTGGGCATGGTAGTGCGCGCCTGTAGTTCCAGCTACTTGGAAGGCTGAGGCGGAAGGATCGCCTGAGCCGAGCAGGTCGATGCTGGGGTGGCCATGAGCGTGCCACTGCACTCCAGCATGGGTGATGGAGTGAGACTCCGACTCAGGAACAACAACAACAAAAGTCAAATAATTCCTTTTTTTAAAAGCAGGGAGTTAATTATAAGTTTTTTAATTAATTTATTTTTAACTCATAAAAAGAAAATTTTATCTTTAACATTGATTTTATGTTTTTTTCTCCAATTAATAAAAGCAATGCTTGTTCATTGCAATTATTTTGGAAGTTCAAGAAAAAAATTTAAAACTTGGAAGAAAATACTTCTCACAATTCTTTCACCAAACAGCATCTCTGCAAACACCCAGAAGCATCCTTCCAAGCATTCCTTTTAGGAGGCTGAGACTATGACTGCAAGCACAATTTTTCATACAAAATCATATCATAAACTCTATCACACATCATTAAAAGCTCTTTGAAGGCACATACATCATGATTTGCTTAATTATTCACTTAATGTTAAAATATCTTTGTGCATAAATGCATGTCTGCATTTGAATTATTTCCATAGCATACATTCTTAGAAGTGGAATTACTAGGATATGAACATTGTGAGAGCTCTTGATACATGTTGCCAAATTGGTTTCCAGAAAATTTGTACTAATTACAGTCCCATTAACATTATCCAAGAGTACTTTTTACACCGTGCTGATGCCAGCATTAAAATTTGTTTTAATCTTTGCTAATTTGATGGGATAGACATGAGATTTTTTTTTTTCATAGTGGAGGTGTTGAATCTACTTTTTTTTTTTAAAGATGTGTGGAGTACAATCCAGGGGTAGGTATACAAACGTTGATTATGCAGGCACCCTTGTTGATGAGGTGTGCCCCTACCTCCCCTAGAAGTTTCCCTCAACTGCCGATCCCATGCTCCCTCCCCTGGCAGTTTCCCACTACAGCCAATCCCTTTCTTATAGTATTATGATAATTGTTCAAGGTCTGCTTATGAGTGACAATATATGGTACTCTGTTCTTTGTTACTGTGATAGATCACTGAGTATGATCGACTCTAAATCCATCCAAGTTGCTGTGAAGTCTATATGTTTGTCCTTTTTTATGGCTGCCTAATATTCCATTGTGTATACGTACCACTTTTTTTTATCCAGTCCAGCTTTGATGGGCAGCATGGTTGGTTCCACATTTTTGCTATTGCAAATAGAGCTGCAAGAAACATACATGTGCAGGTATCTTTTTTGTGGAATGATTTGAGATCCTCCGGGTATATCCCCAATAGGGGAATTGCTGGGTCATATGGAAGGTCAATTTCTAGTTCTTTCAGAAATCGCTACTGTCTTCCAAAGAGGTTGCACTAGTTTGCATTCCCACCAGTAATGTAGAAGCATTCCTTTTTCTCTGCATCCAAGCCAGCATCTGTTGTTGCTTGTTTTATTAATGATGGCCATTCTTACCGGGGTTAGGTGGTATCTCAATGTGGTTTTGATTTGCATTTCTCCGTTGATGAGTAAGGCTGAGCACTTTTTCATGTGTCTGTTGGCTGCCCGTATATCTTCTTTTGAGAAATGTCTATTCATGTCTTTTGCCCACTTTTTAATGGGGCTGTTTTTTTCCTTTTGGCACATCTGAGTTCCTTGTAAATTCGAGATGTTAAGCCCTTGAAAGATATACAGTTGGCAAATATTTTTTTCCCATTCTGTGAACTGTCTCCCTGCTCTCTTGATGGTATCTTTGGCTTTGGAGAAGCTCGTCAGTTTGATGAGGTATCACTTGTCTATCTTACTTCTTATGATATGGGCACTTAGGGTTCTGATCAGGAATTGGTTGCCAGTTCCAATTTCCATAAGGGTGTCTCTTGTGTTTTCCAAGATTCTTATAGTTTGAGGCTTTACGTTTAAGTCTTTGATCCATTTAGAGTTCATTTTTGTGTATGGT